CACAATTATTCAGTGGGCTACCTTCAACCTCTAGCTCATGGAATAGGTAAAAGCCGTCAGTGTAACATTGAGGCAAGAGTTTAAATTAAAAACCACCAGGAAAAAGAAATTAGTCAATATTCAAAAATTGTCATCCCAATAAAGACAATGGGGGAGCTAGTGATGCAAAATTCCTCATTTGGAAATGGGAAATGGCCTCAGTCTTCTTCAGTACTGTCTGCCCAGGCCTTCAAAACTGTTTGTTCAGCAGTAGCAAGAGGAGATGGAATGTAACTGGTGACACACAGAGCAAGCTGGAATCAGAACCTGTTGTTTCAAGTAAAAGCAGGAGGGTGATGCTGCCAGTGGGGGTCTTTGGCTAATAGCTGATGGCCATGTTTCCAAGTACTTGCACAATTAGAGTGGATTTCATTAATGCTGGGACACATCATTTGTATCTAATGAGGATCAAGGTCTCCTTGAGATTTGATACTAAGGAATTTGTGTGTCCCTTGTCCCTGCCAACAACCCTGCATCTTAATTACAAACATAATTGGGTCTGGGGAATTGCAAGAAAATGTGCTAGTGCTTTTCTAGCGTTATGCATAAAAACTTCTATTACCTGTTGAGCAAGTGGTGATTGAAAATCTTTTCTCCTCACTGCTTAAACAACGTACATGTAGCAAATCAGAACAGAGCATCCTTGTTACACTTAGGAAATGGAATGGGAATATTTAATGCCTCAGCCTAATGTCCATTTATAATAAGCAATATAGTATGTATCAATAAAATAAAAAGGCTAGGTACCACACAAGCAACAATAAAGTCAAGATCTCTAACATTATGTTTTGCCAGGCCTTTGTGCTCTTTCACTTGTCTATAAAATTTCAAGTGTTGACTGCTGTTTTCTGAAGGAAAAAAGGGATTTTCTTCCATCTTGCTCAAAGCACTGTTTTTGTTATACTTTTCCTAAGAGTGTATTTTCAAATTCCAGCAAGGAGTGAAAGAAATAGAAAATAACATGTCATAAAGCAGAAGCATACACTGAAAGAACAAATAGCTGTGATGGTAATCATGTCACAGCATAATATTTGTTTGTTATGCAAGGCAATCTTGGTGCATTGGGTTTTCTCCCTGGAGTTTCAATGCCTTCTTTTTGTTTTCTTTAAACTAGTGATTTTAGGTAGTCCTAATTTCTCATTAATTTTTTGTGTTGTTGTTATAGATACTGTGTGTAAATTTCACACAAATAAATGAAAGGAACATCATACCTGTTATTACTCTGTAGTTTCAAAATAAGCCATCTTATGCTATTTGTTGAACTTTTCCTAGATTCGCCACCTAAAAATTGAATCAAAAAAATCACAGGATTCTTTGGATCAGAAGGCACCTTCAAAGATCATCTAGAACAACCTCCCTGCTATGGGCAGGGATATCTTTCACCAGAACAGGTTGCTCAAAGCTCTGCCCGATAGAAAATGTCCACTTGAAACCAAATGTAGAATTTAAGCAGACATGATGAAATTAAACATTATCCCCAAGCACTTGGAAACAGCATTACTCAGACTCACAGGGATTACATCTCACCTTAAAAGAATGTATCTGCCATAGCAATGATTTCCAATAATCAAAATTAATCCTTGGGCTGACAGCCAACACAAATCCTATATATAGTTTAAAGACTTAAAATGCTGTCGACAGTGAATTGGGACTCTACACCAGTAAAGTATGATTATGGGGCTGATCCTATACTCAGGAGCAAACTTCTTACCACAGATTGGAGTATTGCTTTAATGCTGACTAAAAAAGGGAGGACTAGAGATGGGATTTCACTTTCCTGTGTCACTTCCCAAAGTCTCACAATTTTCCTGTAATACCTGTTACCTGTGTTCTGTCCCCTCTCTGTTCATGGTGTCTATCTGAGAGGTCATCAGCTGAGCAAGTATAGTTTATCTGCTGATGTGTGGTATTAAAGTCAAGATACATGCTCAGAAGGGAGCAATTTTACATCCATGATAGAAATTTCAACTTTTAAATGAATCCCAACTGGGTCAGTTAGAAGGAAAACTTGGTTTCCCTTGTACAGAGCCTGAAAGAATCTCTTTCTTTGAAGCAGCAGCATTTTTTTCCTAAGAAATAAGCATTTGAATTGTCACTGATGATTAAACATTTTATACATTTTTTTTTAAATATGAAAAATTGGAAGATAGTAAGTGATCTATTGAAAAAGTTTAGACATCTGCTTGTACTTTTGTAATTCCTAACTTTCATTTAACATAGAACTGAAAATAAGCCACTTGGGCAGCAGCTTTTCCAGCATGCTCAGAGTTTCCAAGCTGTGAATTTACAAATACCAAAACACCCTCAGGAGTTCACTGATATTTAAAACCTGATCATCCCAGCAAAGTGTCTTTGAATTTTCTATGGTTCTGTAAATGACGATAAAGATACAGGTTAATTTTTTTAATGCTTGTTGCATTTGACTCACTTTACGGATTAAGAATCTCCAAGTAGTTAGTGAGAAGTGTTTCAGCTGCTAAAAAAAAAAAAAAGTAAAAATTGATTTTTCTGTTGTCAAGCTTTCTTATATTGATTAGCAGCTTAACATTTATCAGCTTGAAGGGCTTATGGCTGCCATTTTGTGAAGTGATATTTCAGGGGTCAAGCTAATGCACCAAGTGGTTTTGTTTGCATTTCTAAAACTGATCCTTGCTGGGCCATCATTATCTGCTTTTACCTGCTTTGAGAGCTCAGGACATAATACACAAAGTGAAAAGCAATTATTAAAATCTCCTCTTTTAGACTTTATCCAGAATTTCTGAAGGAGAATTTATTTTTAAAAAGGTAGCAAGTGTTATGATGACTTTTTGGTTGGCTTGGTTTTTTTGGGGTTTTTTTTGGGTTTTTTTCTGTTTCCTTTTTACCTGAATCACCAGGAGCCTCAAAATGTGAACATGACCATCATGTAAGCAATTTTTTTTAATCACCCCAAGAGCCACACATAACAGTATTCCAGAAATGAAAGATTTTATTTATAAAGGGTTTCTACAGTTCATATGCAAAATGTTACATTTTACATGTGTTGGCCAAATTTATCAAGCTGTTTCCCTGTGGAATTTTGTCATTGGTTGCGAACTAGCCAAGTATGAATACTGTAACAAAATATAATTTTAAAAGCATAAAGACAAAAAACAATTAAGGATAAATAAGCCTTCAAGAGCAAAGGAAGATGTGACACCAACACCATGGGCGTCACAATTTATTCCCACAGTTGTGATAACAAAGTGTTAGCTCACAATATTTGATGCACACGAACCCAGCAATCCACATTCCTTCTTAGCAAAGGCTTTCTGAGCTAGGTTAGATGGAATATGTGTGTGCTGCTTGACAACTGGCATTTCTTTGAGTTGACAATCTTTAAAAGCACTTGATTACACTGTGCAATCTCTGGCATTGTTGTACAAAGAAAGCCCTCCCTGGCTGTTTCTTGTGACTCTATATTTATGATTATATTTTCATTAAACTGTGTTGCTTGTCAGCTTCTTATTTCACAAGCTGTTTTCATGTTGCAGCTGAAAATTTTCTGAACCAGTATAAAGGATTGACATGCAAAGTCAAAAGACAAATGGCTCATCAACTCGAAATAATGCATTTGGGAATCTAGCAACTCTGTATTTAAAGGGTAGAGAAGTGGTGGAGAAGAAACCAGCAGATCACAAAGGCAGACTTCTTACTGATAACCAAGATATAGTTAAGATGGCAGGATTTAACTCCCATGTTAATTTTCAGGTGAGGCCAGAATGAAGGCAATTAACAAAGGAAAATAACAAATTAACTACTTCTGCAAGTGGAATCTGGACTGAATTTCCCTTTGGTTGGGGTAGAAGTAAATGGCCAAAGACAGGACATATTTGTAGGATGCAAAGGGCAAAGTGGTGTCATGGCAGTGCTCACAAACTGTCATATATGGAAGGCAGGGGTATTTTGTGGGCACATGGCTGACAGTTTTGCAGACATTTTTTTACTTGGAGTTCAGAACGGGAAACATGGGAACGTAAATCTGAATTAATTATTTAAATTATCAGTATAACTCAACTCTCATTTATCTCCAGTGAGGAGGCTTGGGTGGTTTTTGCATTTAAATGGCATTCATTCAATTTGAGTGTATTTTAATTTTTTTATGCACATTTTTTTTTATACATAACCTGAACCTTTTTTTTATACAGAACCAAATGTTTTGTTAATTCAAATGAATTGTCGTGCTTGTACTTCATAGGTAAGCTCTTATAAAATCTTTAGTAAATTAGTAGGTTTGCCACTTTGCTCCACGTGGAAGTGGTAAGAGGTTTACTAAAATGCACAGACATTATACATCCTGTGTGGGTTAGAGTGCAACCAGTACTTATCTGGGTAGGTTTTATATCTGAGGTGGAAGATTATTTGAGTGAAGAGAACTTACTGCTTTTATTTTAAACACAGATCAATTCACCAGTGTGGGTCCGTTCTCTAAACTGAGAAGTTGGTAATCTAGATGAGGGGCAGAGGGAAGGAAAGAGAGCAGGGTACTTGGCTGGAGACACCTCATTTGAATCTGGTGATGGAAGTCATCAAATATGATGTAAATTTCATTCAGGTTGTCTCCAGTACCATGGGGTAAAACTGGTTTGATTGTCTGTTAAAAAAAAAACCAAACAACAGTCCTTAAGTGACCTTCTAATAAAGTAACATTAAAATTGCTTTTCAGGTGATAAGTCCAAGGGAACATGTGTTTGTACAGTACCTGGTAGGATGGTTCTTATACCAGGCAGAAGTTCCTTTGCACAACTGTAAAATAATCAATGAATATTTACCATTTCCTCTCCCCACTTCAACATTGTATTCTCGTGCTAGAATTACTGGGGTGATGATTAAGGATAATTACCTCATTGCCCTTATGATAGAGAAGTTCTTTTATTTCCCCTTTCTTCACCTTAAAAATGAAAACTGAAATGTGTTCACACTTTTCGCTCTCCCTCTCCTAGGAGACGGATCTCATGACCTTCAACATCTCCATGCACCGCTCCTGGTGGCGGGAGCACGGGCCCGGCTGCATACGAAGGGTGGTGCGTCCCTCTTCCCCTGGCGTCCTGGAGGATTACTCCTACGTCTCTGTGACAGGCTGCATCATTGATTTCCAGTACCTAGAGGTCATTCACAGCGCTATCCAAATACTCCTCTCCGTAAGTTCGCGGTCCTTCTCCTACTGGGAATCCATCGGTTCTTTCACACACAACCTGCTCTTGCTGCATTTTCTGGAAAGAGGGTGGAGTGGGTGATGGATGGCTGCAGAGTGTGGTGGCGTTTGCAGGGGTCCCAGAGCAAGGGAAGAGATGAGAATCTTGACTCCATGTTTCAGAAGGCTGATTTATTATTTTATGATATATATTTTATTAAAAGAAAATGATATATTGAAACTATACTAAAGAATAGAAGAAAGGATTTCACCAGAAGGCTAGAAAGGAATGGAATGATAATGAAATCTTGTGACTGACCAGAGAGTCTGAGCCAGCTGGATTGCGATTGGCCATTAATTAAAAACAACCACATGAGACCAATCAAAGATCCACCTGTTGCATTCCACAGCAGCAGATAATTATTGTTTACATTTCATTTCTGAGGTCTCTCAGCTTCTCAGGAGAAAAATCCTAGCAAAAGGATTTTTCATAAAATATGTCTGTGACAGCAGAGATTTTTAATTGTGTTTTGAATTAGAGAATTATATACACATTATTAAAATGTGCACTGTTCCTTTCTTTCCTTTTATCTCTTCAAGCTCTGTACAGGCCTAATACCCATTCTGGCCATAGCTGGGATAGGTGGAAATTAACTTGAGTCCTTGGCTCTCATTCGTTGAGATGTAGAGCAAAGCAAAGCAGATTTGCCCAGAATTAATTTGCTAAACCTTTCAGTAGTTCACAATCAATGATGCCATTTATTCAGCCCTGATTGTAAATGTATTTTACATGATATGTAGCTAAGTTTCTTCCCAGACTCAGCTATGGCTTGATCCTTGAAAAAGGTAAAAAATATGTTAGAAATTAAAGTACGTGTTTATATTTAACCATGGAATTCTTTCTCTCCTTGAACTCTGCATTATCAGAACACTCTACCTCCATTGTCCACATTTGTTGCAACACAAGTCAAAAAATGCAATTACAAGAAGTTGTTGTAAAAGCCTGCAGTGCAGGAAAGTGCTGGGACTCGATCAGTTGTTTTGGGAGCAACAACCCAGTCTTGGCCACAGTTTTTCCTCTTGGCTGCTTCTGCTTGTGATTTACAGATCATTTGGCATGAGTTGTGTGTGATCTTCTAGAAGTGTTAGCTCTTTCTTTTCATAGCTGTGGGTAGTGCAATGCAGCTGGCAGACTCTGAGTGGCTGCACACAGGATCGATCACCCCAGATATCCAGGGGTACATCTATAGGTATATCTCAAAATATACCTATTTCGAGAACATAAATGCTCGTGGCTCATGGTCCTCACGATGACCCTGTTAGACAGTGGGACAAGAGGTGCAGTCTGCAGTCCACACCTGCTAGTCAGGTGAGGTTCCTGGTCTGCACAGCCAGAAGGGATGCATATTTCGGATCTGTTCAGTATTTCAAGCTGTTTTACTAACAATCTGGTATATACTACCACTTGCAAAGTAAAAGACATCTGTGGAATAAATCTCACTGGTTAATTTAAGTTTGAAATTATTTTTTAAATTATTTTTAAATTCAGCTGGTTGTTGATCACAGGAAATGTTTTTTGCACTTATCAGTGCAGTACTTTTCTGTCAAATGGCAGGAATACAAATATTAATATTCAAATATTAGAACAAACACAATTAATATATACAAACTAAAAAATATTGAATATAAAAATAGAGAAATTCTGTAATAATTAAAAATTTAAAGATGTAACTGGCCTTTTCTTTCTAAAGAACTGACTGATTGCTGTGCTGGATTAAATAAAAATTCAAAATTTTAATTAAATTAAAAATTTAAAATGTGCCCAGAACTTATGAGGCATGACTGTGAATTAAATAGTTTCCCATTTCAGATAGTGCTTTGAATTATATAAACAATGCTAAAATTAAAATACTGTACAAAATGTGAGGTTTTCCTCCAGTTTTACTATGTTGCTATGCCATCCGTGACATGTTATGATTAACATACCATGAATCTGTACTTCAGTTTCCATTCTGAATTGTAATTTATGCTTGTTTCATGTACCATGCCACAATAGAGAAGCCACCACCTGGATTATCAAATAATTTGCAGTTTCCTCCCATTTCTGAATACTACTGGCTTAAGGAAGTTCCCATCCATTTTGGATGCATAACTTCTTTTCCTAATTGGAGTACTAATTTCAGTTGTTAGTAAAAAGGTCATTTCAGTTGTCTTTTCAAAGGACTGGGGAACTGTATGCAGATCATGAGATAATTTTTTTTACCTTTTCCTGGTAGCTAGTCCCAAAAGCATACTATTCCTTTTTGGACCTTACTATCTACTTAGTTTTCTTAACATTTTTATGAGGCAATAGTAGTGTAACAAACCATTTTACAGTGTAAAAAGCTTCCTTGGCATAACAAATCATTTTACCATGCTAGGCTTTGTCCAAATGACTGGGAATGCAAACACTTCCATTTGGTAGGGAGTTAGGGCCTCTGAAAGAAGAAACACCTCCGAGGGGTAAGTACTGGATACCTGTCGAGATATATAACCCACTAGCAGCATTTTTTAAAGGTGACTTTTTTTTTTTTTAACTGGTATAGTTTTATATGCAGAGAATGCTGCAGCTGCAGTTACATTAAACCCTGCTTCAGGAAATAGGCTTAACATCTATTTACTTAATTTTAACACGGTAAAGCTATTTTTACATCTGCTTTTTAGTTGCTTCAAAATATATATTTTTATTGATGAACCAGTAACTTTGTATCTCATCCTGATTCTCAGTGCCTATGTAAGTAATTGGTAGTTGAAGATGTTAAACATTTCTTTAAATTGAGGGAGATTCAAGAGAAGTATGGGAGAATGGGCTGCAATGAATAGTAAAGAATAATTATAGTTAAATTTTGTGTTTAAAATCTATATTTATTTGCTGTAGGGCATAATATATATATTGTTTTTATGAATAAATTCTTCTGCACAACATCTTTAAAATGCAAGGCAGGTCATCATTACAGATACCTCAATTTTCAGGGGACAAATTAATAATACAGTCAAAATGGTGACAGCTTAGCATCTTTGAGAGAGACATTTCATACTACTTTTGTTGTTATTGGAAAATAGTTAATGCACACTGAGAATATTAAATGCCAGGTACACGCTGGCTTCAATAGCCTGAACATTAAAAAGTTCTCCAAGTTATTGCAGAGAGATTTGTATTAGACCCAGAGCCTGATATGACATTAACACAGTGCAGCACAAAGCCCCAAGCCAGGGTTCACTGTGCTAACTCTGGAATTAGCAGCCACATGACTTCATCAGTGCTGAAGAAGGAAAATTAATAAATTTTGGCAGAGCAATGGGCTGACACAACTAGATGTTTCTGGGCCAGGAGATCTTACTTTCATTCAATGCTGTGTTGGACAAGGTGAAGTTACTTTTCCTTCCATTCTCATCAAGGTATAGAAGGATAACCTAAAATCCAGACCACTGAAAGATGGGGGAAAGCAAAGAAAGTGAAAACCCTAAGCCTAAAAACATGCAAAACACGCAAGCTCTTTGGCATGGTGATGCAAATTCAGGATATTTTGAAGGAAGTTTCTCGTTTACTTTGTGGATGTCCATCTGCTGCCTCTCATGAGTGTCAATTATTGTAATCCTCAGGCGGCCTGCTGGACCTACAGAAGAGGAACAGCCACAAAAAAAAAACCCAAACCCTCTCTTGCAGAGCCATGTATAAATTCAGACAAATATGTAATACAGGGAGATTAACAATACTGAATTTTTTTCCATAGTGAAGTAAAAGGCAGTGAGCATATCTGCCTAAGGTAAAGTTATCAGCAGTGGAGAGCTTATCACATACACTGCCAAGCACAAAACACACATTCAAATAGAAAAATACATTACTTTCTACAGAATATAATGAAGTTGTAATATCAGAAATATAAGAAAAAGCACTCCTGGTAGCCAAATTTGCAACTGGATACTGTGGTCACTGTGAGCAGAGTCACCATCTGCTAAAGTGTACATCCCAAAAAAATGCCTTCCCAGTGTTACTTTCAACTCATGAATTTGTAAATGTTGAATGCTTTCCCTAAGAGGCAACGGGCTTCTACAGCAGCTTCCAACAGTGTCTGAATGCTCAGTAAAATGTCTACCACTAGTTGAACAATTGCAATCTCTGTATCAAAAAATCACACAGAAGGGATGGGGAGGGAAGGGCCCTCTGGAGGTCATCTGATCCAACCCCCCTGACCCTTAGCTGGGTGCACCTAGAGCAGCCTCCCCAGGACTGTGAACAAACAGCTTCTGAATATCTCCAAGGAGAGAGACTCCATAACCTCCCTGAGCAAACCGTGCCTTGGCTTGATAGCCCTCACACTGAAAAAGTTTTCTCTGGTGTTCAGAGGGAACCTCCTGTGTTCCAGTTTGTACCCATTGCCACTGATCCTGGCACTGGGCACCATTAAGAAGAGTCTGACTCCATCCCCATTGCCCCCTCCATTCAAGACCTGGACCTGGCTGCAGCTGAGGCCTCAGCAGTGCTGACCAGAGGGACAGGATCACCTCCCTTCATCTGATGGCAGTAGTCTGCCCTATGCAGCCCAAGCTCTTTCCTAATTTTCTATAAAAATGGCCCCTACCTGCCCAAAAGATTCATAACTATTGATATAGGTTGATGCTAAATACTTCTAAAAATCTGCTTGTTAGTATTCTTAGACTTGTCATCCATACATTTGCTGGGTTATCCTGCTTTAATTAACCAGATATGATGATTTCAAATATTTTGAATTTTTTTTATTTTTATTATTATTATTATTATTATTATTAATAATAATAATAATAATAATAATAATAATAATAATAAAATCATTTGTGTCATAAAGATCATTGCACCCTCTTGTTTGTGAGGACTCTATTCCTCTTACTTTTTCCTCACAGTTCTCTGATGTTCTTAATCTCTATTCTCTCCAGTACACAAAAGCATCATATCCATAGGGAAATGATAGGCAAGGATCTGACTTAATT